GTTGGTTGGTTGGTTGGTTGGTTGGTTTGTTGGTTGGTTGGTTGGTTGGTTGGTTGGTTGGTTGGTTGGTTGGTTGGTTTGTTGGTTTGTTGGTTTGTTGGTTTGTTTGTTGGTTTGTTGGTTTGTTTGTTGGTTTGTTTGTTGGTTTGTTGGTTGGTTGGTTGGTTGGTTGGTTGGTTGGTTGGTTGGTTGGTTGGTTGGTTGGTTGGTTGGTTGGTTGGTTGGTTGGTTGGTTGGTTTGTTGGTTTGTTGGTTGGTTGGTTGGTTGGTTGGTTGGTTGGTTGGTTGAGTTAGTTAGTTAGTTAGTTAGTTAGTTAGTTAGTTAGTTAGTTAGTTAGTTAGTTAGTTAGTTAGTTAGTTAGTTAGTTAGTTAGTTAGTTAGTTAGTTATCTAGTTATCTAGTCAGCTAGTTAGTTAGTTAGTTAGTTAGTTAGTTAGTTAGTTAGTTAGTTAGTTAGTTAGTTAGTTAGTTAGTTAGTTAGTTAGTTAGTTAGTTAGTTAGTTAGTTAGTTAGTTAGTTAGTTAGTTAGTTAGTTAGTTAGTTAGTTAGTTAGTTAGTTAGTTAGTTAGTTAGTTAGTTAGTTAGTTAGTTAGTTAGTTAGTTAGTTAGTTAGTTAGTTAGTTAGTTAGTTAGTTAGTTAGTTTGTTTGTTTGTTTGTTTGTTTGTTTGTTTGTTTGTTTGTTTGTTTGTTTGTTTGTTTGTTTGTTTGTTAGTTAGTTAGTTAGTTAGTTTGTTAGTTAGTTAGTTAGTTAGTTAGTTAGTTAGTTTGTTAGTTAGTTAGTTAGTTAGTTAGTTTGTTAGTTAGTTAGTTAGTTAGTTAGTTAGTTAGTTAGTTAGTTAGTTAGTTAGTTAGTTAGTTAGTTAGTTAGTTAGTTAGTTAGTTAGTTAGTTAGTTAGTTAGTTAGTTAGTTAGTTAGTTAGTTAGTTAGTTAGTTAGTTAGTTAGTTAGTTAGTTAGTTAGTTAGTTAGTTAGTTAGTTAGTTAGTTAGTTAGTTAGTTAGTTAGTTAGTTTGTTAGTTTGTTAGTTAGTTTGTTAGTTTGTTAGTTAGTTTGTTAGTTTGTTTGTTTGTTAGTTTGTTAGTTTGTTAGTTTGTTAGTTTGTTAGTTTGTTAGTTCGTTAATTAGTTCGTTAGTTCGTTAGTTCGTTAGTTCGTTTACTTTTGTTTACTAAGGAAAGTCTCTGCGCTATGCATTGACCAACAGTAGCATGCTTAAAGGGCTATGGCAATAAAAATTAACTTTGTCTTATTTGAAAGAACGTTTAAAGTTATATATCAAGACCCTTTACAACTTTTTCGTACCTTGCTTGGTTTTCGAAATATTTTGACCAAAAACAGTGTTCAGTCCGCCATCTTGGTATTATAATTGACCTAATTAACTGAGTTTTTGATGACGTCACAAGCAGGGTAAATTAGTTGTAAAAACTTCTTCATGTGGGATTAAATTTCTTCGAAAAGTTTCCTAAAATGTTGTGAGTTGATTGAGTACTAAAAAGACTTGGGGAAATCGAGTTTCATATTGATAATGACATGTGGTTTGCAAGATAAAAATTTCGCTTTTTACCCTACTTGTGACGTATGCATATTGAATGCATATCCACGATGGCGGAATGCACGCTGCTTTTGATCAAAATAAGTCGATTTATTTCGAAAACCAAGCAAGATACGGAATAATTGTGAAGGAAGTTTACATATCATTTTAATGATCTTTCAAATAAGTCAAACTTAATTTATATTGCCATATCCTTAAAGCCCATTTTCCACAAGGCGAATTTGTTCGCGCGAAGCGAAAACAAATCTTGGCAACGTGATTGGTCAGCGAAAAAATTCCAGTTCCTGTTTTTTTTTTAATGTTCGCGCGAACGAATTCAAACAAATTAACGCAGAGTTACGGCGCAGCGTAACATCTAGGCTTCTCATTAACTGTTAATTAAATTCAATAAAAATACTTTTTCAAGGTTCAATAATCTGCTGGGGTATGGACGTAGATTCGGACTACCGCTATTATGACCAAGGACTGCACGCTGGGACGCCAACAAATGGAAACAAAAAATGTCATCTGTCAAATGACGAAACACATGTCATGTTTAAAAGTCATTATGCTCGTCTGGATAGCTCAGGCCGCAAAGCTGAATGGGATAGGGCCCAATTCGGTTTTCTTGGTTCAAAATTCTTACAAGCACCATGTCAAAGAATTGCATTGTGGGTGCGGTAGCTGCTGAGCAAATATGATAAAAAACCGCAGGCGGATTTGGGCTTTCGCCTCACGTTAAAATTTATTAATTAAAGAAAAGCTTTTGTTATTAAAAGAAATGTATGCATGATGCTCGAAAATGAAAATTTCAAAATTAGGCGACATGAACGTGGGAGCAATAGCCAATTAGGTTTAGAACATGTTAACATTAACCGCACGGAAAATAGAAGCATGTACAGTAACATGACAACAGCAATTTATTTCCTTTGATTGACATATAAAAGGGCTTCATTGAAAAACACTTTTGGTGATACGGACTCCCGGTTTAAATATTATTATTATTATTATTATTATTATTATTATTATTATTATTATTATTATTATTAATATTATTATAATAATTTAAAAAATAATATACATGGTTTACACTATTTACGAGTTTTTTTGTGGCCACAGCTTTGCACTAAAATTGTGCATATGCCTCTAAATTGAAAATATACCTTATAATGTCATTAACTTTGATTAAAAATAATATACTTCGATAATATCAACGACTCAACCAGCATAATTTTAACGGAAGACACAGTTTATGATGTTATAATCTTCTGAATTTTGTAAAATCTCACCCCAAAAGGCACGAATAAATGGCGTTTCATAGGCTCTGAATTTCAAAATTTTCCCAGGGGAGCGGACCCCCCTAGATTGTCCATGCCTTCGGCGCTCAACTTGTCCCCCCCCCCCCTTCGTAAACCCTGGCTACGCCACTGCTGTGTTCCCTCAACGTAGCCAACAACATGCTCCACCAAAAACCTTAGCAAGTATAGAAAGTGTACATACATGTACTGTACGGTATTTACATGCTTAAGCATATTTGTTGAAATTTATTGGCAATAATTAAATTAAATTAAGTTTGTTAGTTAAGTTGTGCATATCTTGTACCAAACATTTAGCCAGGTGGCAGCCACTCTTAAAATTAGGCAACCACTTTTTAATAGATGGCCATGGATGGCCTAAGAAATTGTTTCCTTTAATTTATTAAACAGCAACTTTCAAGTTTTGTGATATCTCTTGAATACCTCAAAAGTTGTCAGCTGCTGTTTACTTCATCTATATATACAGCATATGTTTGAAAAGATGCTGAATTGTGAGCATTAACAATTCATTTCAGGCACCATGTTTTTAGTACCATGCCCATGAAAATAGGTTGCTGCACCCACTGTAATTTTTGGACAGCCAGTTTTAACACCCTGGTTGGTACATTGTATATATACGTGTAGTATAATTCACCATGTTTGGTTTTTTAGTATATACATGATCACTATTATTAAGTTATAGGAGGAAGCATTTTTAAGGGCAGATATATTATTTGATACTTCTGAAGACCATCCAGACTCCAGAGTAAGCAGGTGTATATAATCAAGTGGAAGCACCGCAAGATGGCGGATGCAACTTTTCAAGCTAAAAAATATACAACTTTTGAGCGGATATTTTTAGTGTTTTTAATGCAAATAATTCAAGTTTTCAAACTGTTTTATCTTCCTGAGATATTGGTTCATCATAATTTCTGAAATAAGACGGTAAATTTTATTATTCGCGAAGAAACGTTAATTCTATCGCCGTCTTGTTAATATGGCTAATTTGTCGGCAATCATATCCGAATGGCAATGTTTATCGAGGAGTAGTAATATAGAGGCCGTTCGGGCCTTATTTTTAGGGGGCCGCAGGGGGCCGCAAGGGCGGCGCATCATTATATATGCAGGTAATTAAGGGGGCCGCACAAATGAGGGTGCGTAGTGACGTCACGCGGGGAGGATCAGGTAAGTAATGACGTCACGCGGGCAGGTTTAAACACGATCGGGCGAAACTTGCTGACTACGCATTTTTTAGCGTCTCTCCACGTTTATGATACAATTGAGGGATTAATGTTGGCTTACTATGAACTTTTATACAAGTATCTGTGTAAAATCGACAAGCGTCCTGTTACAAACATCGTCTATATTTGTTCCACATCAGTCATGGCGTGTCTACACGGTAAAACCACATCTTACAATTTATTGGAAGGAATATTTGCGAATGCAGTCGCACAAGAAGTTGAAAGACTTTGTGTGGAATCCTGTAATGGTTGTCAAGTCAGTCATCCTAGTCAAAGACAACATGACTGCCTCATGATGAACGAAAACGAACGATGGCAAATGTATGGTTTACAAGCGATCGAACGAGTGAATGGTAAGCGGATGGTTTGGAATGAATTCGCTGAGGCAATGAGGGTACTAAAACTGGCGGTTGATAGAGATGTACTCGAACATTTACAGCAACTGGAAAAAGATCCAGATTCTACGTTTGTCGATTCATTGATGGAACTACATCAGAACACTGAGAACCACGAACTACAATGTATACTGAACTATTTGTTTCATTGGAGATTAGAAGACCCACTCGAGTCCGTAGCTGAAGCGTTTTTCTCTTA